AAATTTGTTGTGCTAAGCAGTTTTTGGCACAGTGTAGAGCTTTGTAGCTGTTTTGGTGTCGCTTTTTGGGACTTAAAAGGCGGAGTTGGAGTGGAAGTCAGCTAGTTTCGGTCCCCGTAACCCTCTACCCATTTATCCTCCCTTTTCCACCGACTGTAAGCCGGCGCCTGGAGCATTTTAGGCTCATCGTCGTCGTAGTCATCCGCATCCTCATCCTCATCCCCGATCCCCATCCCCAATCCTCATAGCCATCATGGGTCGTAGTGGGGCACTCATCCAGTCAAGAGCGGGGAAAACGGCTTGCATTTGTGGTCTGGATGAGCCGATTTTCTGTTTTCTATTGCGGACCAGGCAAAACGTTGACTCCTCAAGTTGTTATTTCAACTGTTTTTCCAGAAGCCCCTGCCCCAACTTTCCCCGCTTTCCCCTCCGAGGGTGTTGTTACTGCCATTTGTTGTAACGCTGCTTGAGATGTCAAATAGCTGAGCGGTCTTGCAACAACAACAACAGCAGCAACAGCAGGAAGCACTTGAAAATTGAAATCCAGCATTGGGGCGCCACTTTTGCAGTCGCAGTCGACGTCGACAGAGACGCCAACGCAGCAAAAAAATAAGAATAAAAAACAATAACATCTCAGCGGAGAACAAAGGTCCTCGCCTTCCTATTTGCATATGAATATGGAGCACTTGGAGGCAGCTTTTGGGTTGTTGCTTCCACAGGCTTCCACTTCCACTTCCAGCAAGAATAACATCAGCTGTACAACAACCACAAACGATTTGCTGTTTGGCATATGAATAAACCAGCAACAACAACACGGATCCGCAAAGAAAACTTATTGCTGATGCTGTTGTTATACCCTCAACTTTGGAAAGGGTGACTCGCCTTCATTGAGAGAAAAGCTTTTCTATGATAAAAACTTAGTTATAGATCTTTTTCGGATTTTTATGTAAAGTTCTTTTTCGGTTGAGGAATATTCAGTTCCGAGAACTATATTTAGGAATGATGATTCTAAAATTATTTACTATTAAAGAACTTAGGTTCCCAACCGAGTATCACTAAATAAAAGTAAGACCCATGTAATACCTTTTGTTTTAAAAGACTAAAACAGGAGATCTTGATTTATTTATATTATAATTCGTTTTTCCACAACATAAAATACTTTTTATATCATATATGTATGTATGTTGGTATTCGAATTGTATTATATCTATAACATTATAAAACTCTGAATAAAAGTTGGTTTATGTCTAAACATTGTATTTTTCTTTTTAAAAACTAATTGTATTTATATTGTTATTGATAATAATATAACTTTTCAATTTCTGAAATATGGAGGCTATGAAACACCAGTATTTCTATTTAATCATTACTTTGACGTCATAGTTTTAAGCAGTTCTATTGACAAAGTTTATGTCTTGGGAATCCAATCACAACTAGCTTACATAAAACGTCTTTATCTAGATGGAAAGAGCATATGGTATTCGGTTTTGGTAAGGTAACCCCCTCCCAGCTCTTCTTGGTTGCTGATGCCTGGGTTGTTGTGGGTTGCCCCCATAGCTTATGGTTTGCCTGCAGTGTATTGCCGGCGGCAACAATAACGCTCAACGCTTGTTGCCTTTGTTGTTGTTCTTGTTGCTGGAGCTGCTGTTGCTGGTATTGCCGGCGGTGGGCGCTAGATGGCGCCACACGCCAGCGAAAATTGAATAAGAGGCTCGAGTTGAAGGCAATTGCCAAAGTAGGCAGGCAGGCGGAAAGCAGGAAGCTATACCAATACCAAACACACACACTGGAAAACTAAAGGAAGAGACTCCCACACACATGCCGAGTTTATACGGAGGCCACTTTCAAAATATTTCAGGAAAAATCGTTAAAAATGTGTTTATAACATGAAACTAGCTATAAAGCACATATTCCTATCTAAGAAACACAGAAAAAACTGTTTTAAAACTTATTTTTTACATTTTTAATAACGGTAATGATATTATATCATATCATATCATCCTTATCAGGCAGTTTTTTATATTTTATATATACTTATATGGTATATAAGGTTCTTGTATATAAAAATACAGAATAATAATGTAATCTTTATTATACCTATCTAGAGCTATAAAGCACATATTCCTATCCTAAGAAACCCAGAAAAAACTATTTTAAAACTGATTTTTTACATTTTTAACGATGGTATTATAATATACCATATCACATCATATTACTTTTAATTTTATGTTTTTTCCTATATTATATATGGTTCTTTTGCAATAAAATATAAGATGATAATGAAATCTTTATAATATCTATCTATCATATCTATTCATGTTTTCCCTGGCTGTTTTCCGAATTGAAAACTTATTGGAATCGCCCTGCATAAACGGGGTAGCCACACCCACATTCACACACCCGACAGGGAAAAGTTATGTAGTGTTCTGCGCCATGTTCCTTCGGATACCTTCCTCCGTAGGTTTTCCTTTTCTTTTTTTTTTATTTTCCCCCGTTTTTGCTTGTTTTGGGTTACTTTGAATTTAATGGAAAATTTATTGACTTTTGCCTTTGCCTCCGAGGCAGAGCCACCCACCCACAATTTCGCCATTTCCTGGCCCCCAGTCCCCAAGAACCCATCCTAGCTGCTCCGTCATGTGTGCAAAGTTTTCGCATTCGGTTTGCTTTGGCTGGGTTTCATGAACTTGCCCATGCCCTGCACTCCGACCGATTCTTCCAAGCAATTGGGGATAAATAGTTGATGATTGTGTGTGGTCGGGGGGCTGGGGGCGTGGCTCTTCTGGGGGCGGTGTCAGGGAGACAGGGGAAACATCGGAAAAATCAGGCGGTACTGATGAATGAGGGATGACCGCTTGATGTGTCTCGGATTGATTGATTGTCCCTTGCAATCCAATATGTTGCAGGACAGCATTTGAATCGATTCATGCGGGTGGCTCGGGAATTACAGTAATAGCTCGCCATTTGCCAGGATATTGAAAAGCCTGAGGCGTTTTTTCAAAACCACTTGACAATTTTTCTCGATATAAATTCGATAAGGGGTATATTTTTGTTCTCTCTCAAAATGAGAAAACTGTGGGTAGTTTATTTAATTTAAATTTAACAGAATGATACTTTTTGTATTACAAAATATTCTTTAGGTTAAACATTAAAAAGGATTTCAGATGTTAAAACATTTCAATATGAACACTCATCTTTTATTTACCTCAAACGAAATTTTTTCAATCCTTAACAGTGTCAATAACATTTTTTGATAGTATTTCTATAAAACATACTAAAAATATTCATTATATAAATGTTTAAAGTTGTACTATTTCTTTGTGATAAATATTTTCTTATATAAACATGAAAGCGAAGAATCGAAGCATAAAATAAATATGTAACGCTAAAAGCATGGACAAATTTTGGTATTGCTTTCCGCAATGGTAAGCATAAATCAAACACCACTTTACATAAATGAAAATGCCTTATAAAGAAAATAGCCCGTGTTGTAAACTTTTTTGATGGCCAGCACACATGAGTAGCTCGGCCAACATCAAAAGAAAAACTTGAAATTTTGTATTTGAATTTGTGGCTCTTTGAAATGGTTACATTAAAAACGTGGGAACGCTGCAGATGACTGGCGAACGGGGGTGGCATAATATGGGCCTAGAAGAGTACGTCAGAATTTGTCAACTAATTGGCCAGCTAGAAGAAACTCCCTAGAACAAGATAGACTAAACGTCAACGTCATGCCTTGACTTGTTCACTTACAATAAATTAGAATTATAACCACGCTTAGCCAAATCAACGACGCAATAACCTCGCAATAGCCAGAGTACATGCAAGGGGACTGTTCGGGAATCCTACGGGGCTTTCGTACCCCCCAAAAGCAACCCCCAAAAATAAAACATTCACAAAGGCAGCGGCAAGGGGTAGTTATCCTGGCCTGACGCCACAATCCTCAGCGGAATCGTGCCGCGGAAGACCGAAAAACTTTTCTCGCGTGTTTTACCAACTTTAATATTTCATGTTGCTGATTTTCTTTATGGGATTTGGCCGTGGAAATCCCGGGGACAAACACCCTAACACCCAAAGCACCCACACACACCTCGACCAATCTCAACCCCTTGAAACTCAACAAGTTTTTTTTCTCCATGCTCTCCGCTGAGAGTCTTGAAAAGACCTTTCGAGTGGAATGCGGACACGCCTGCCATGTTACGCCATTAGTTTATGATTATTGCCTGAAGTTTTGTGGGTCCCCAGCGGAGTTCCGGCTGGCACTTTGGAACAGTGTTGTCAACTATTTTAAAACTAAAGTTGGTCAAAGCGGACCATAAAATAACAGCTGGTAAGTAAATTGCACTGAAGGTATATAACAAAGCAATCTAGATTTGGTTTGTGATATATTTAGTGTAAGGTATTTAGGATCATTACCAGTTTGTAGAACCATTTTAAAGTTTATTATAAAACTATAGATTTTTTGGATAATACAAACTGAAAAATTAAAATATCCAACCTGAACTTTGCTAAATCCTACACAGAGAAAAGTATCCAAGAACATTGTTCTTAAATTGAGAACATTCGTTCTTAAAAACCGTGTAAGTAAATTTTGGTATCAATATAAGAACGAAATAGTGAGAAGAGAAAAGTTAAACACACTAAGGACTGAACTAATAGCTTATTCGTACATACAATGTACTTAAATACAATAACAATAACATTTTCAACTTAAAAATGTCGTTCTATTTTTAAGAACATTTTCAACTCAGATGAGAACGTCAGAATTTTCTCTGTGTATAACTATGTGATTTTTTGTAAAGCTGAAAACAGCGTTATTAACCTTATGAAGAACGTCTCTATAGAACTAGTTACATTCACATATATCGATGTTTATAAACAAAAGTTCCCATGAATATCTAACTTTTCTGGTAACCCAAAGGCCTAAAATATTCCGATTTGGCCAGAACCAAAGCCAAATTGGCAACACTATTGGCAGTGTGAAATGTGGCTACGGAACTCACCTGTTGTCGACTCCTTCGTTAGTGTCAGTCGTCCATTGTGGTCGGTTAGCAGCAGCAGCAGCAGGATCTCAATCAATTGAATCACGAAGAGGCGTCGATTGTAAAACAAACACATTGCAATCCCACGTCTGTTGTCACCGCTCTTTCCGGTTGGGGGCTCCCTTTTTGTTGGGCCCAACCGCGATTGTAATTATTATATTATATCTCTCTGTGTTACGCGATTATTGGAACGTTAACGAACTCTTCAGGCTGCCAGTCAATTCGATTACCAAGAGCATTTTATCAATGCTCCTCTCACTGCGATGTTTGGCTTCGGAAATGGACGGAAATCGGGGGATAAATCAAATCACCGAGTTTTATTTACTAATCTAATGGACACACCCCTGCACACACACACCCTCACAGGCACACACATACGCATAAGTATGCTAATATATTTTGGGCATACGCATAAATATTTTACGCGAGCAACAGTGCGTATACTCAATTTGTTTAATAGTCCGCACAAACATGCCGCCAACACGATGGCCCGGCGCCAATGTCATTTGTTTGTCGGCGCTCAAATCGGGAAATTGATGAGGTGGCAGGGACAGTAAGGCCTGGATTCTGGTGGCTCAAAACACAGGGGATTGTAAAAAAACAACCAAAAGATCATATTTTTAGTTGACCTTTTGCTTGTGCAATTTTCCTATTAAATGAGATATTACTTTACAGGAAAAGGTTAAAGTTTCAAGTTGTTTTTAATATTTCTTGATTTACTTTATTACACTTTTCAAGCCATAAAGTTTTAGGAAACTTTTTTCAAAGGCCAACCAAAGTTTGCGCTCCTTTGGTTTCTGTTGTTTTGCAAACTTCAATCATTTGCGTTCATGATTTTTCGAAACTTCTTTTTATTGGCCAACCCAGTTTGAACTGAGTTTTTGGTTTAGGTGCCTTTTAGACATATAAATATCAAACTCTTCCTAAAGTCCAAGTACTACTTCCTCTGATCCCGAAAGTCATTATTAAGTTTAATCGTAAAAGTCATACCAAGAGGTTTCCTATTCTCACTATATTTTAAAAAAGGTTTGTGTCTTCTAAATAACCTTTAATTTAGTATTTTAAGTTAATAAGTTATAGCTAAGCCACTTCAAATGGGATGACATTTTTAGATAGTGGTTTAAAGAAATCACCTAACTTATTATATTTGAGAATAGTCCGCTTTTCTTCAAAAGAAATATATAAAAAATCGTACGGATACTAGTTTTAATAAAAACTTCAGGAATAAAGAAAGGAGCCTTCATCCTGTTTAAGTCTCATCCTCTTTTCTCCTTCCGTTCCACTTCCTCCATCGTCATCCTTTTATCGGCCTTAAATTTGTACTGGCTTTTTGTGTGTGTTTGGACTTAAGCTGCGATAAATTCGCAGATTCTTCGGCTCAGATTCTTCAGCTGCCATTACGCACGCATCACCATAATAATGATAGTAGTAATAATCGTAATAATGATGATGATGATGCCGGTGATGATGCCACATAAAAGGCGGCGGGGCCCATTTCAATTTCAATTCCACAAAAGGCGCGTGTATCTGCAAGATACATTTCTATCTCGAGTGCGCAAAAATCGCGCGGCAAACCAAAGTTCGCCGAAAAAATGGCATAAATGAATGCTAAAATATATTTCGGCGTCGTTGGCATTACTATTATATTGTTTTGTTGTTTCCATTGCTATTTCAACTATGAAAGGCTTTGCAAAAAGTGAAGCAGATCGCAGACAAACTTTTATATGTATGACAATTGAAAAAAAGAACTCAATAAATCAAAAGAAAAATGCAAAAAGTGCTTGTGCGAATTTGAGCTTGGCTTTTTTGTTTTGAATACACGGAAAGAAAGATAGAAAATGTATACTAATGTATAAGAATTTTGGGGATATGAAGTCTATATTTGATTATTTAAGATGGTATAACAAACTTAGTAGTTTTTAGAGTTTATAAATATTTTTTGGTATTAAAAGAACAAATTGAAATCATATCTTATCATATTATTATTTTATTTCTATTGATATAACTTGTCAATATTTTTGGAATTAATTAAAATATTGAAATTATATCATATTATAACAAGAAAGAAAGCTAAAAAAACGAATTTTGTGGATATAATTCCATATCTGAACACTTAAGATGGTATAATAATCTTTCAGTTTTTAGAGTTCATCTATTTTATTTGGTATTATAAGAACATATTGAAATCATATCTTATCATCTTACTATCGATATTATTTATCAATATTTTTGGAATTTCTTAAAATATTGAAATCATATCAACATTTTTCTCTGTACACAATGGCGTTCATTTGTTTACAGCCCAGCGATAAAAACTTTTGCTTTGTTTACAACTCTTTGGGAATATCCAAAGTATATAATTTCAATTTTTGGTAAGATAAAACCGAAAATTGGGAGATAAGCAAAAAAGCCGGCTGAGCAAAGGAAATCACATTGGGGTAGTTGTTGTTATATAAAACAAATTGTATGCGAATTTTTGCACAGAAACGCACACAGATACAGGGGCACACACACAGATACAGAATCAGGCGCTCAGGAAAACAGAGAGCGAAAGAGAAGATGAAGAGGATGACGGCGAGAAGGACGAGAGGGGAGGGGGGGAGAACAAACGAATTTCAGCAACGACGCAAATTTCGATTTCCTCGAAGTTTCTACCTTCTATTATGCTCGTTCCTCTCCCGGCTTCTTCTTCTTCTTGTTTGGGCATCATATACATTTTGTTTGCAAAAAAGAAAGAAAAAGTAAAGAAGCAAAAAACACACAGAGAAGAAGAAGCAACAGCAGCTTTTTTTGTTGTTTTGTACTAAGCTTTTTCTCTGCCGCCGTTTTGCTCCTTGTTTTTGCTACGCTTTCGCTTTGCTTTTGCCTTGCTTTTGCTTTTTTGGGTTTTTGCTTTTTGGTGATTTTGCTTTTTGCGGGCACAGCACAGCTTTTGTTTTGAGCGGTTCTGTTAATACGCTTGGGATAGCCATCCAGTTACCTGTACTTTTAAGATTTCTAGACTACGCATATCCTTTTTGCCGCTTTGTTTGTTTGGCATTTCTCAATTTTCAAATACTCCAGCCACCCACACATACGCACTTTCTGCTTTTTTTTTGGACTTGCTTTCCCTTTAGTTTCTTGTTATTTTTTGCCCTTTGTTGTATTATGTCATAATTTATTCGCCACCCAGGACTAAACAACAACGAAATCTTGGACAATTGATAAAGCCAATGAATCACACATTTTCGTTTTCATTAGCCCCCCCATTTATTGCTTTCTCTTTCTCTCTCTCTCCGGCTGCACCGGCTCCTGTTGCCTCCTCCCTCTTTTATTATTATTCCTTCTTTTTTGTTGCTACCTTTGTTGTCTTTTTTGCATTTCCGCTTTGGGTTTGTGCTTCGCTCGCACTCACGCACTCAAACACTCGCAAACACACACGCACACATGGCTGCGATTATTGTTGTTGTTCCAGCTTGTTTAACTTTGTTTGTCACACGCACACACACACACACGCACACAGTGGCACGCAGAAAAGTCGCGAATTCACAAGCGCCGGCAAAATTACTCGAGAAATCCGCCCGCGACGCAGCAAACACGTCCAAACAATTTATCCGCCATCGGAGAACTGCGAGCACCGAGCTTTGCCGCCTCACTTATGAATGGAAACAGCAGTTGCCGGTTCGACACATCGCTGGTAATCACGAGTCCAAATGCGAAAGTTCCCCATCCCCAGAAAGTGGAATGCCAACTACCAGATCGTCGGAATTACTTGGGCGCTCGATTTGAAATTACCGCAGGTTAAGTTTCCAGTTTAACCCAAACATTAAACGAAAAACTTGTATCTTTTATTGAGCCTAAGAATCCCTAAGGTTCTATTTATAAAGATTTCTTCTAAAGAATTAATAATTTCTGAAAACTTTTTTTTCTTGAAATTCTAGTAAAATAATCAGATTGGATGGCCAAGACGTATGCGCAATTTTTGGGCCACCCAAAAGCTCCCTTAAGTCACCGTTACTAACAACTTTGCGAGAGGCAGAGAGGCAAGCAGTGAGAGAGAAAGAGAGTGAGAGTTGAAAACAGCTTTGGCTTCACTTGTGGATTTCGATAATTTTGAACTTATCGATACACATACCAAGGTTTCTCATCCCCAAAAATTAAGTGCGCGCTCATTTTTAAAACGTAGAAAATACAAAAAGCGGCAGAGAAAAAATTGAAGTTAACTTGAATAAATTTGAAGCCTATAACAATATGTACCAAAAGGAAATAAGAAGGGAAAACTTTTGAAGAGGATTAAAAACGGTATATTTTATAATAAGAGGACAGATCCGTCAAGTTGACAAGCTCCCCGTTGGCCAGTTGATTTGTCGACACTCGTCGACACAAATATTTCTATTGTCCGTTCGCTGCACTAATAATATAGTGCGCGCCGGATTCCGTTTTGAAAAATAGATTAATATTTAAATCGTGATATTTTTTCACGTGATATATCGAATATTGCTATTTGCTAATCGATGTTAAGATTTTTGGTGTGACCGTGCCCTGTCTAAATAAATACCGCGAAACGCAAAAATGAGCGAAAATACGATATTGCCCACCGCTTTACCAACTGTCATACGGTATTGCCAATTGAGCTACTTTCCCACTAGATCTAGAGTTTTTTAAAACTGGATAAGATATAAAATAGCGGTTAGCGAGAATTCTAGTTGTTTTTCGAGCAAAATTTAAATAATTTTTCAAGCAAAATTGGCTGTGTTTTTAGTGTCTTATGAATGTGCAAATTAGTTGAGTTTAGGCAAGAGTGAATATAAAGTGAAATCCATTAAACAGCAATTGTTATTGAATCATTGGACAGAGGAGTTTTTTTTTCTCCAAGGGTGATATAACTATTGAATGTATATAATTAATGTATAATTTCTTAAGTCTCGATACCTATCCCAAATAAATTTGCATTCAAACTTTTGAACAAAGGCGCAAACTACACAAAAGCTATCAATGTTAGGCGCATTGGCGCTTTCGTTTTGATCAACGTTGGTATAAGCATTTCCTTAACTTAACATTTAAAACTACTTATCTTTAATAAAACAAATAGATCAAATAAAGAGCTCGGCACCGTTCAGTGAAAAATTTGAATTTAAATATCGATAGAATTCCGACAACAGAGCCAATGTTAAGTTGCAGAGTGACCGTTTGGAATATTTAAAAAAATGTAGAAATGGCGTCTTGCGCCGGACAGATATTTGATTGAACACCCCGCGGCCACACTGTCCAAGTTGTTGTTGTTGCGCGGCCGAGGAAAAACGGAAAAATTGGAAACGCGGATGAAAACAACGGTGATTTTCGCCCGACGCTCGTGATTTCGACCGCTTTTGAGTGAAGAAAAAACCCGCCTGTTTTTGTGCGTGCCAGTGTGTGTGTGTGCGCGCGTGTACGTGTTCGATTTCAAGACGCGCCTCGCGATTTCTGTGCTGCCTTGTGGCTCCTGTAACTACAGTAAATACTCGCGCGAACAACGCGTCAAAGCGTGCGAAAAACGCAGGGAAAATCGCTCTCTCTCGCTCCCTCTCTCCCTTTCCTTTTTGCTGATTTTTCGCCGCCTAAGACTAGCATTTTGTTGTTGCGCAGCCTGCCTGTGTATGTGTGTGTCCTGCGTACGCGTACGTATGTATGTGTAAATTCCAAAACATACGCCGCTGCACAGTGGGCACAAAAATGAGAGAAACCACGTAAAGTAATTCCAATTCCATTTCCAATTTCAATGCCCGGCTTTCGGGTTTTCCTTCTCTGTTTGGGTGTGTCGCTTTAATGTTAATTTTCCGCTCGAGTTTTCCACCATTCCGCCATTCCACCCAGTTTCGTTGTCAAGGGGAAGCAACAAATGCTTTGCGTTTCTTTTGTTGTTCGAACTACGTGATGCAATGCGTTTTATGGCATTCCAACCAAGTGCTAATTAGAATTGATTATTATTCATTATTTCGCTTATTACGCACACAGCCGCGTTTATGTGTGTGTGTAAGCGGCTCTCTTTCTCTCCCTCTCTCTCTCTCGCAAACAAAACTCCAGCAACAACAAAATGGCAAGGCCAGGCAACAAAAAAATATCTCCCCTCCTTACGTTTTTCCGCAACGCAACGCAACGCTTAACGTAGTGTGCAAAAATAAATACAAATAAAATGTTTAATTTAATTGCAGTGAAAAATGTGGGCGAAACGTGAGCGATAAAGGCCCGATAGAGAAAAAAAAAGTGTAACTACGTGTCTGCCCCACAGACGCGGCCAATGTCCGCCAGCTAGCCAAGTTAAGAGACAACCGACGATCAAAACGAGCCAACGTTACGATATATCGCATAGATATAGCATAGACCACCCCCTATTTTCCCCCCCAAATCACCCGAAAAGCCGGCAAAACGACGTCCAAGAAGAAGCAGACGCAGCCGACGCGGCCGAAGACGAGCAGCATGTTCAAGTGCATTCCCATCTTCAAGGGCTGCAACCGGCAGGTGGAGTTCGTGGACAAGCGCCACTGCTCCCTGCCGCAGGTCCCCGAGGAGATCCTGCGCTACTCCCGCACCCTGGAGGAGCTCTTCCTGGACGCCAACCACATCCGGGACCTGCCCAAGGTTAGTGTTCTATAAAGAACATCCTCTATAGGTAGGGGAGAAGGGAAAAGTCTTATAACAAGTATCCTGGGGGTATTTTGGGATAGATTCGGTAGAAATTTTGGGAAAACCTTTATCAGTACGCACCTATAAATTATTCCCGAGTATTGATTTTTATTTTTACAACTTTAAGTCTAACAGTATTCGCTGTACCTTAGTCCTTTCGAAAAAATTACCTTTCTTTTATAGTTGTATTTCCTATATGGGTATACCATTTTATTACCATAAGAAATAGTACCCCAAACAGCATGTATTTTGAAGAGTTTGTTAAAAAACTTTCAATTTAAGTTCTAGGAACCTATTGAACAATTACCTATAGCTCCTTACAATTTAAATATAATTGTTTATAATAATAATAGTAATATTTCTCCCTCTTCACTACATTCATCTTCAATTACATGATATAATTCTTTACCTATTCGTTAACAAACATTTCACTTTTCTATGATCATTTTGCATATAACAATAGCAATACCAACTTATAATTATTTATTAATTAACACAAAATGCCGGAAAATGTGGCATAGGCCAAAGGAGTTCGACTGTATCATCGTGGTCCCTGGAAAATCAAGCTGGGCTGACTGAATCCTAACTTTGGGCTGCTGCGTGGTGCAAACCCGCAAATGTCATAGTTCAAAGTGCGTGGGGTATTGAATAAATTCCGTCGAGTCAGGTTTGGTTTTGAGAAAAACCCACATAAAATAGTGGGTGGTAAATGAAAATTATATTTTAATAGATGCAGTGCTTCTACTAAAATAAAGAGATACAGAGGCTGTGACAGGAAAGCCACAGGTGAAAGGGTATTAATAATAATTAATTTTAGGTTGCTTGGTCTGAAACCTAAAAGAAATTCTATAAATATTAAATATGTTATGGTAATATGTTAATAATATATTTATAATATTTTTTATTTTGCTCTACATGGAACCTAAATGAATTTCCAAAGCTATAAAAAGAGATGATAATACACTTATAAGAAATATTTGCAAAGACAACAGATAAATGCCAATGGCTGGACATTCCGATAGGGATTGTTTGATCTGCTGGAACCCCTCGGCTTTTATCTGCTCAACAACTTGGAACACAACGGCCTTGTCTGGCGGCGATGATGTTGGCAAACTTGTCCCACCGAATGGCCCTAAGCTCAAGGGGTTGATGGCTGGGCACGTAATTCGTAATTTGCATCCCCGGGTGCGTTGACCCCCAGGCCCAGGGCCATTCCTCCGCCTCCTTGACTGCCTGCTCTCTTATTTTCCACCGTGAAAAGCCCCCATTCTCCTCTGGCCAGCTATCTGGCGGGGCATCTCGGCATTTACCATTTACCAAGACAACAATTACCACAAAAGAAGAAGTTCCCCCTGAGATGGCGGAAGTCTTTAATTAATGCGGGGAAATGGGGGGAAAAAGGCGCAGAGCTGAGTGGCTGAGCAGTAGCCTTTTCTTTGACAGTGCAGGGCAGTCATAATGCAGAATGGCTGCATAATTGAATCTGCAATTACGCAACTGCGACGATCAAAGCCCTCCGCCAAAGCAAAAGCATTCTAATTAGTGGCCAAGTGCCCTGATAATGGCCACATAAATTGGGTGTGGTCGCCGGCTCGATATTCCATTTCCAAATAATTCTTCAGCTTGTGGTGAATAATTCTGTCGCGGTTGTTTATTTGGTTTCTGGCCGCGGTCTTCCGCCACGATTGCAGCTGTTGAATAAACAAGTAAACAAGGCAGTCGGACATAAACATTAGTACTATATCTACAGCCATAGCTCGTTGACATAGCAACAAGTTGTGGGCGGGGGAATGGCGGGAGATGCATCTCTGGTTGCAATTCATTTGCGGTCAGCTTTCAGAGTCTTGTGTGCCGGTTTCATTAGGTCTGCTCAGAGTTTCGCTGGAGTTTTCCTATATAATTTTCCCCCCGGGTTCTCATCGAGCTTCCTTCCCGCTCAGCCGCACTCACTAATGAACTTCTAATGCAAATTCAGACCGCTCTACCTTCCACTTACCCAAGCAGCCACATGTTGCAACCGCAGCAGCAGCAACTACATGTTGCTGCCGGGCAGCAACAGCAACATCGGATCTACAGCAGCAATAGCAAAAGCAACTACAATGGTCTAGTCAAGTCTCCCATATAATGATGATGTTCTGCTGCCGAGTTCGTTTGAATGGCGGACCAAATGACAGCGGCGGATGTGATTGTTGCTTCAGTTTAGCTTCTGCTGATGGAATCGCCCGACTCAACTCAACCCTTTTTGTGGACGGGATTGTTGAGAGCGGTACACAATTTCCGCGTTGTCATAGCATCGACGAGTGGGGAGGGTACACCGCGAAAAAGGGGTATTAAAAATATGATTGAGTGGCTAATAAATAAGAAAGCCGTATTCTTGACAGTTATTATAATACCCCAAATGTGGATAAGTTCAGATACAAGAACCCAAACTAGTTATAAGTATTGCGAACTACTAAATCTTATTAAAAAACCATTTCCTTCGGAGATTTTTTGGGGCTTCTGATCTTTTTACTATACTATAATACATTTAAACCATTTTTCAACAAATAAAAGTTATATATGAATATATCTGTTTCTCTAAAAAAATATCTAACACATGAAAAACTTGTTGACTCCAAAATAAGTTATACGCTTCACAAAATTTATAGATTTGTTTAATAATTTGTTTTTTTTTAATTTTTCATTATTTTGTTTAAATTACATTCCATACCAATTTCCTTTTATGGTTTTCTTATGGTATATTTATTTTTAGACTATTATCTTTTTCGTAGTGCATTAGAGAACTGTCTTCCTCAATTGAATCGTTGTTAACTCGGCGACAATCTGCCTCAATCTGCGGCCAATCGCTGGCATTCATCAGATGGAGTTGGCTGGCAATTGAATGGGAAAATGCTATTTTAAATTTAGCATTTTCCGCAATCATTTAATGGGTCCCTGTCTCTCCGCCTCCTCGTCGTTCCTTCTATGCCTCTATATAATTGGTAATTTGCATGATGCAACTGCTCGATTTGGGGCTCTTCATCGCTGAGATATACTATAGTATGTAGTAGAACCTACCCCAAGGAAACGCTGTGGACACAGCGCATAGCAAGAAATTGGCTTCTTGGGGTTAATACTAACCACCCGAGAACCCACACCCAAACCCATTCACAGTCACAAACGCTGCTGGCCCCATTCATTTGGGCCAATTAGTCACGCTCGGAGATTAGATACCGAGTAATCACCTTATCGCCTGGCATTGCCCCAATGGGCCTGAGGTTCAACCTGCTTAGGAGACCGAACCACCAACCACCTACACCGCCCCCTTTTCGGTTCGCCTTTCTGGCTTTCGCAACCTGAAGCGGAGCAGGTGCCTTTTCTTTTTTCTTTTTTTTTTTAGAGGGCAGGGGACCGGGGCTCTTGTGAAAACTTAACCGGCAGTCTGGCTATTGAACACACACAAAGAAAAAAACAGAGAGCCAAGCGGCAATGACATCATTTGGTAGTAATCGCGCGTACCTGACACAGCGAACTCGACAACAGCTACGAAAACAGCCAACAGCCAGCAAGAATCTAAAATGGCGGCCCGCTTTTAGTGAGTTTGGCTAAGTGAATGCTACTCACTACCCGCCGCATAACTTGGCTTTAACACCTGCTGGTTACCCCCAAAAAAATTTACAAAAAAAAGCACCAAACTCTGATTTGGCAACTTTTTGGTTGTCAAAAAAGCTTGGAAGATTTTGGACTGATACTTTGTTGATGGCTTGGTGACAGAGCCTATTAAAATATATAATCTACACTATAATTAATTCTTAAATAAAATATTTATGTGTGTAATCACAGAAAATAATATCTTAAAGCATTTCTAAAATTTTTAGCTTAACATGTCATTTTTCCCATGAAATTTCATGTGATTTTTATGGTTTTAAAAATCTTTTACAAATCCACTATAACAAAGCTTACATTTGTGATTGCATTAAAAATTCATAATTAAAGAAGACGATATTAAAAACAGAAGAAATTTGCTGTTCTATATGTCAAAGTGTCGTTTATTTTCAAATTATTGTAAAAAGTAGGCTGCGACTTCACCGTTTTCCTACTTGCCTATGCTACTAGTTTTTCATTCTCATTCTAACTGAAGCAGTCGTACAGAACAGTTCAATTATATTTTCGTGTTTTAAGGTAAAAAAAGTTTCAAGAAATGTTTTATAGAATTTATTTTGGTGTTTATTTTTACTGAAATATATTTTCGGTCTCACACTTTTTAATTAACGCGTTACTATATGTTTCTTAATACTTAATATTCCTGCTCTGAGTATATGGATGCGGATCCAGAAAAACATGTCCTATTCAATTAGTTAGTTTTCAAACGATTCGTGAAAAGTAGGCTGTGACTTTACCGTTTCCCTATTTGTCAACGCTACGAGTTTTATATTTTCATTCTAACTGAAGCATTCGTACAGAACGGTACAATTATATTTTTGTCCATTTGAAAAACATTTTTGTAATATTTTTTTTGGTATGCATTTTTATTTTATTATTATTTTCGGTCCATAAAATAATATTGACGCATTACAATAGATCCTGTCAACGCCAATGATTGCATAGAATCTCTTGTGAGGAAGAAGCCGTCTTCCATTCGGTAATCGAAGTCTGGCAGCGACTACCCAAGTCGAGTGCTCGGACAATGACGACTGCTCTGGGAAGAAGGCCTGCCTGGACGCGAAGTGCATCGATCCCTGTTCCCTGCCCAATGCCTGTGGAGCTCAGGGTTGCTGCTCGGTGCAGAACCCTATTGGAATCTGCTCCTGCGCGGCGGGCAGTACCGGAGATGCCAGGTTGGGATGCGTGCAGCTGCAGTACTGCCAGCAGGATGAACAGTGTGCCCAGGGAAGCATCTGCTCCCATAGCATCTGGAGTGCCCTGTTCCTGTGCCTGCCAGGGAACCTGCAAGTCGAACTCCACCTGCCCCAGTTCCACTTCTTTTCGAATAACATTTGTACCAAGGAACTGGAGTGCCAATCGGAGGACTAGTGTGACGAGGATGAAAGCTGTCAGTGATGTCTACGGACGTGCCAAGTGGGAGTCCGTGTGCCTGGGCAGCGCCGCATGTGTCTGGAATGCCGAGAGTGTGGTCCGATCTCCTATGCCTCTGCAAGAAGGGATTCTTCGGAGAAGCCAAGTACGAGTGCAGCAGCGACGACGATGACTGTTCAAATGACCATAGCTGTGACAACCATATGTGGAAGATCGCCTGCCCTCTGCACCAGCAGCAGTACCATTTCATCGACAAACTGACGAAGCAGCCATCTTCCACTGTCTCAACCAAGTCGGCATCCGGGCCCACAACTTTCCCGTAGTGCTTGTTCATCGACACCACCTCGACGATTGTTGTGCAATTCGGACGAGTCCCTATTAACGAGCATTCCTCGTCCTTCGATTTTCTATCCCGGAATCGTTGAGCGAGTGGAAAAGGGGTTTTCCAGAGGGAAAGGTCTTTTCCCACTGGCACAACGAATCCGGCATAGACCATCCAAGGACGAGGAATCCCCGTTAATAGGGATTCGTTTGAACTGCGAACTATCGAAGTGGTGCCGGTGTCCAAGCAGTACCAGGAAGCTGTGGGCCCGTATACCGACTTGGTTGAGCTAGTGGCAGGAGGTTGCTTCGTCAATAGAGTTGCGATCATGGCCTGAGCCCGGCATTTATCCGCAGACACTCTTGGAACATCGAGGAGGGGTTCCCAATCTTCGGAACAGATGCAGAAACCATAATAAACATAATAAATTGATGTAATACATAAATGTTGCAAGATTAAATTTTATTTAAAAATTGGAGAACGCTACAGTAGAGTGCTTCGACTACCACATACTCGTTAGCTAAAGGGAGCGGAAGGGAGATGGAAATAAGCAAGCAGCAAAGCGACTTTTTCAGAGAATGTAGGGCGCCCCCTAGTGGCTATTATGTTTATATGACTTTCTAATGAATGATCCCATTTGAATAGAAAAAAACAATCTATTTAGTGGTATTGACGTTTGTGGGCTTTAAAATGGGGATGGCTAACTTTTCTATGTCAATCGATAGGTATTGACGAAACCAATACATTTCTGTTTGAATTTGTGTTCTAGCACTGTGGGCGCCACAGTTTTTGGCAGTTTGCGGGCGCTGGAGTGGGAGATGCACTTTGCTGAAAGGAACTTGCGCTGCGCGAGAATCTCTAGAACCTAAATGCATTAAATCCTTACACTACCTCATCGATGGATTGCAATTTCATAATACTTAATATTTATTCTCTGAATATAAGGATGTGAATCCAGAAAAACAATGTTTTATCCCATGTCCTATTCAATTCCCAAGTGACGTTAATTTTCAAACGATTTGTGAAAAGTAGGCTGCGACTTCACCGTTTCCTACTTGCCTATGCTACGAGTTTTTCATTCTCATTCTAACTGAAGCACTCGTACAGAACAGTTCAATATTATTTTTGTGTTTTAAGGTAAAAAAAAGTTTCAAGAAATTTTTTGTAGAATTTATTTTGTTTTATTGAAATATATTTTTGTTCTCACACTTTCTAATTAACGCGTTACTATATGTTTCTTAATACTTAATATTTCTGCTCTGAGTATATGGATCCGGATCCAGAAAAACATGTCCTATTCAATTAGTTAGTTTTCAAACGATTCGTGAAAAGTAGGCTGTGACTTCACCGTTTCCCTATTTGCCTATGCTAGGAGTTTTTCATTCTCATTCTAACTGAAGCATTCGTACAGAACAGTTCAATTATATTGTGTTTTAAGGTTCCTAGAAATTTGTTGTATTATTTTTTTGTGTCAATTTTATGGCAATATATTTTCGATTTCACAATTTCTAATTGACGCGTTACTATATGTAGATCCTGTCAACGCCAATCATTGGATAGTCTCTATTGAGGAAGACCCCTTTTTCGCTGACTCATCGATGTCGGGCAGATAATATTCAAGAAGGTACTCCTAGCTGTTGGAAGGGCATCGTTCGCAACTCTTGCGAATCGCCATTGACGAAGAAACCCCTTCTCCATTGGCCATTCAAGAAGAGACTTCGTATCTGACGGACGTCCGAAATTTCAAAGAATTTTGATGAAGACCTTATGCCTGCTCATCGGCGCCGGCCAGCGTCTATCCAAGGGGTGACTCTGCCTAGCTGTTCGAAGGACATCGCAACTCGGGGGAATCCCTATTGACGAAGAAAGCTCTTTCGGACAGCGACCATCCACGGAGTGAATACTTCTTGCTGCTCGGCGGACATCCGAAATTCTAAAGAATATTGAAGAAGCACTGTTCTGCGGCTCATCGGCGTCTGCCAGCGTCTATCCAAGGCGTGACTCCTTGATGCTCTATGGACATCCACAATTCTAGAAAATCTGTTTTGACGAAGAAGCCCATTCAAGGAGTAACCTCATCCTTTCTGCTCGGCGCACATCATCTGCAATTTTTAAAGAACTTGGGTGAAGAAGCCCTCTTTTGCCGGCTTATCGAAGACGGGCAGCGTCCTTGCTGCTCGTCATGAATTGTCCAAGCACCGATCGTCGAGGTGTCGACTGCTGTACCAATGGTGGTAAAGGAAGCACTTCTGCGGTATTTCAAAGTGTTTCTGAACGCATTAGATGCTTTAGTGGCGGATAAATAGTGTGTGCGCAAGCAAACTGTTTCGGACCCTGCCGGGACAGAATATACCTGGAAAGCGAGCTTCAGGGGAGTTGAAAACGGAGAAACTGTGACCTACGTCGACGCTAGGAGCGTGAAGTGTTTGAAGAGAAGGGGTTATGTGATCAAATTCTGGAAACTGAAGGCCGACTTCTTGCCCGCGTTCTAGTCATCCAGAATGTGGGCGAGAAGTCGACCTTTAGTTTTCACAACGTGAATTTGATTACAGAATATTTTCTCTTCAGGCTCTTCATGCTCCTAGCGTCGATTTACTAAACAGTTTCCCTGTTCTCTACTTCGCTGAAGTCCACTTTCCAATTATATTCTGTCCAGGCAGGGTATGAAACGGTTTCCTTGGCCGCACACTATTCATCCACCATTAAACCATCAAATACGTTCGGAAACACTTTAAAATACCGCCGAAGTGCTTCTTTTACCAACAGTGGTACCGCAGGAACCACCTCGACTATCGGTGTGCGGTCAATATCCGACGAGCAGCATGACGGAGTAACTCCTTGGTCTGGAATTCGAGAGCTACGACTACCGGATTCCCGTTACCCGGTCAACCAACTTCAAAATAAACAAATCTTACATTTTATCTACTCTTAATTTCTATATTTTACTCTTCCCGCGCTGCGCAGGAATCTGTAGAATCTGCTTGCTTAATCCCAACATTTGCTTTTATAGTTTCCAAGATCACAGCGTTCATACGGGCAGACGGAGAAGGCTAGTGATCCTGATCAAGAATATATATACCTTAAAGGGTCTGAAAGGCTTCCTCCAACATCTACTGTACTTTCCACGAATACAATATACCCTTTACGCTACAAGTTAGCTGGTTGTAATAAAAATTATCAAAAGATAAAAAGCTCAGTTAATTGTATGCAACTGTTAAAAAGATGAGAGCATATAAATAAAGCTAAGTAAAGCCCCTTTAAAACTCGTCAATTTGTGATGCTTTAAACAAACCTATTAACAGTTTTCAAGCACCTCTATAACCTCGAGACGAACTGTACTTCACTTGTGGAATTTTTCATTCGATTTGTTTTGAGTTTTTCATTTCGTTTTCGTTACACATCGCATTTCCCATCGCTTACCACTTTTATTCTAGCCACTACTGACTGAGCTTGTGCAAACCGGTTTGCCTATAAATAAATAAATGTTTTCCACTTAATTGTTTGTGAATGCTTTTGTACCCAACTACTAAGAGCATTTTGTTTGCAGCTGTTTAAAATGTTGTTTTGCCAAAATAATGCATTCTTAGACGGAGATTCGGCAAAGATGCAACCGAGATTTATGGCGTTTGATATGGTCATTGCGTTGCAGTTTCTATTTATTTGCATCTAAAAAGATACTAAATTTCCCAAGCAGCTGTTTGTGAAACGAGGAGCGGTTAAGTGCTTTTCCGCTGACTAGCAGTTGTATCTTTTATTTTTTTTATCCGGTGGCTGCATCGTCTGCAGGCGGCCATAAAGAAAGTCGTTGGCTGGCTTGTTGGCCTGTTGGCATTGGCATGACAAATGCATCGGGGCTCACACAAACAAACAAACAAATAAACAGTCACTGCACTTGGGGGCTGCAAATGTTGGATAGAAAAATGAAGATGTACAGATTGGAACAGGCGCCCAGATACACAAAGGCAGACACTACTGTGATTCCAAAATCCCCGATTCCGATTCCTTCTGCGGATGCCACTGGAGAAGCTCGCTAGCTCGTGTCTTGTTTGTTCGACGATTACACATATTTGTATATTTTTCGACTCCTCTGTTGCTGTTGCAGTGGCAAAGGCACCGGCAGCCATTTGTATCTACTTACAGAGACAAAAATTGGGGGATTAAATAAAGATTTTAGGGACATATATAAATTTGCGTTTAATTCTTTTATATATGTTCCGTTTATACAAGGTTTATATTAAAGAACAATATACAAGTAAATTATTCAATGCTAAAACAAATTAAACAAACATTTTAAAGGTTTGCAGTGTGTGTTGAACACGGAATATTCGCTTTATACCCTAGTCGTTTACTCAAAATTCAGTTGAGGTGATAAAATAACAAAGGTATTATGTATAATTTAAACATAATCTATGTTTTCAAGGCATTGCTTTAAAAAAAAAAAACAAAAAGAATTCAAAATAAAATATTAAGAAAAAAAATTGTTTTTAACCTTAAGGCCGTATACTTAGTCTCTTTCTAATATTATTATGTATTCAAAAGGCTTTAAAAATGTTGATTTTTTTTTAAAGATATTTTTTCTCTGTGTATTTGTATCTCCATTGCGGCGTGAAATACTAAACGTAGTCGCAGTCTTCAGTTCCAGCTCTGCACATAATCGCCTTTGGCCGTCTGTCTGCGCTGTCTGTTCTCTGTTTTTCTGTGTTGTTGGCTGTTCTAGCTCAGCTGGTTTCGGCGGCTGTAGATGCGTCCGTTGAGATATATATCCGTGCCGAAAAATGTATCTAGAACCCGTTTTCGTGGCGATTGTGCTGCGTTTTCTGGGCGCCTAGTCATTTGCAACATGCACACACCACTCGGCAACTGCGACTATATGTTTTATATGGCTAGATGGCTATATGTCTGTACGTGCGTACATCCCCCGGTTTGTGAACAGTGTGTGAGTGGGCCAGATACATTTGGCTTTTCAGATTACACTTGCAGATACACTGGGGCACATTAAAAAATTGCTGGCGGGCAGCGAAGCGCACATTTCCATAAACCCCCGTCGAAACGACGTACTATACACAGGTCATGGTTCAGTGCAGTTGCACTGGATTTGCTGTGGATACTGGACGTTGGAATCCGGAAAATGGAATCCAGATCTATTAGGTTGGCTTTTAGGCAGCGCAAATTGGTTTTCCCGACCAGGCTTTTAACAATGCCAAATTGAATTGTTTTATATACGTCGTCTATTCGGGGAGATAAAGTGCCCGATGGCCGGGCCAGAAATCGAATTATGCACATGATGTGATGCAGCTCAAACAGCCAGCAACTTGTCTGCGTTGTCTGTGATGCAACCTCGAACTGTTGGCCTGGCCAAAAGCGAGCAGCAGCTACTGCCACTTGCTGTGCGCCTGCTCCGACTAGATACAATAGTAAAAGTGTGCTGCCGAGTGAGTGAGTCTACAGTATATCTATATATCTACCAGACAAACTGGTAGTGCTCCCCGCAGTTGGTACTCTGTACTCAGTACTCATGGCTATATATGCCGGCCGGCAGACCGACCGGCCGGTAATTTATGGCCAAGATACATACAACAAGCCCGAGTTGCAGCGTGGGCTTTTGTTGCTTGGTTGGGTGGCAAAAAAAATGGGAGGGGATGGGGGTAGCACTTGGCGAAAAGTTTACAATTCGCATTCATTTTTATTGTCGTCATGCCTTGTCCTCGTTTTTGTCTCTCGGCCATTCCATTCTGTTGCCCCTTTTTGTGGGCCATTTTCATATGCAAGTTACGTTTCTTTTTTTTTTTGCCAGCCTGCCTGCCTGTCTTCCTGAATTTTTCCTACATTTTTTTGTCGCTGACAGTTGCAACTTTTTGACGCATGATTTGTTGAAAGGCTTTTCGCTTTTTCCCTGCATAAATAGCAAACGGAATCTGGCCATTGTAGGTGGCCAAAAGCAATGCAGCTGACACTGATGGAGCCTAAGCCGCTTTGTCTTTAAAATAAAAGCCCCTTGTTCTTGTGCTTTGTTGCAATGCCCAGTGGTTTTTCTGACATTGAGTTTTCTTTCCAGCTGGAGGTTCACACTTTAAATACCTAGCATGATTACTGTGTGTTTATTATAAGTTTTTATTGCTCAAAAATGTAGTGGTTTTATAAATAGACGGTGATAAAAGCGAGCCTCATTGAATCACCACTCAACCTTATCAATATGCTTTCAATATAGCTTACTCTCTCACCTTTTCATAAGAGGTTAATGCAATATTTATTTCCTAGGCCTCACGTTCATTCAAATCATTTTGGTGGATATGAAAATGAATTTATGGTCTGCCGTTCCCAAAATAAATTCCTTTCGATTTGTATGACCATAAATGCCCAAAAGCTAGTGTGTCTTGGCCGAGGTGCGGAATTCGCTTGTTCAGTGCCCCAAAAAACTGGGTCAACAACTCCCAGGCACTTGGCCACTTCTATTGTCATGTGGGGCAAACAAAGAAAATAACAAAAAGTACAGAAAAATATAGAAAGAATTTAATAAACTTTACGGCCACAACTACGAATTATTTTCATTATTCTGGGTGCTCTGTTGGCGACCGCTCTTTTGGGTTGGCCCCGAGTTAAGAACCCCGTATTCCAAACAACAATGGCCGATAAAAATCGCGCTGGCAGAACAACAAAAGCAGCGGCTGTTAACCTTGAGGTCTATGACTCAGTAAAGTCGGTGGGGGGCGCAACTTTCTTTCCCAAAAGAGAGATGAGTAGGTACTACTCCACATTGCAGGAAGGTCAGGGTATGGGTATTTGGTCTTCCCTTCACTTTGGAAAGTCCGCGTGGAGTGCCAACATAATTTATTTCGAAATTCGAATCGAAGTCGTGATTTTCATAAATGAATTGTTGGCGACATGTCTATCTGTCTGGGTCGAAAGGAAAGCTGGCGAGGATTCTAATGGTAAACTGACTGTTTGGACGGGTCACGGCACTAACAAATGACAACCCCTCGAAGATTTATGACCACGAAAACGAACTAACTGAGTTGCAATCCTGCAATCCTACAATCCCCTGGCTTTTGTCTACCGAGTCGTGCTGAGGTCTAAATCTTGTGTTTCTTCTCTTTCGTGCTTGCAGAATTTCTTCAGATTGCATCGCCTGAGAAAGCTGGGACTGAGTGACAATGAAATTGGCCGCCTGCCGCCGGATATACAAAACTTTGAAAATCTCGTCGAGCTAGATGTTTCACGCAATGGTAAGTCTTTCAAAAAGAAAAAAATTAATACCCGTAAACATGCAACAAGTGCCCATGATGCTCTAAGTGACATTGATGGACCCTGGCTTTGGTTATTTTCGGTTAGACATTAAGATAGACATTGATTGAATGACGGAATGAGGCAGGCTTCGATATACATAAATCCGTCGAGTGCCACACGAAATGCAACACTGATGTGGCAACAATTGCATATGATAATTGCATCTGTGTCATTGATTGGCCTGGGTTTATGCAGATAAATACCATATCTGCGGTTGGAATTGATGAGCCTGCAACTGAATCAGCATATCAAATGACGCATTCAGCTTTCACCCACGTTGTGGGCAGGAATATCAACCTAATTAGCGAAATGCCGAGCTGTCAACCTACGTGGTTATTGAGTTTTTACTAATTGCACTTCTTGCACACAATTTAAAATGTAATCCCGGCTTATTTACAAGAGATTAAAATATTAAAAAGCAATTATAATTCCCTCCTACTTAAAACTGGACTAGTTCATCTAGAAAAAATATTAAAACTCTTTAAAGAATTACAAAATCACTAGAAGAGATACTTTTAAATTAAATAGATCTTTAAGCCATTAAATCTATTTTAATGACTACCCATTAAAGTTGAAAAACCCCTAACTTTGATCATCTAATACCTTTCTTAGTCATCTATTCACTTCCCTCGACAGCATTGTTCTGGTTTTCCATTAAAAGTGCTCTTCCTGCGCTTTTATCTTGTTAAATTGCTCTCTATTACAGACTTTCAACGACTTTAAACTCAATTTAAGTGCAAACAATTGCATTGTCTTATCTCTCTTGGCGCATGCAACATCCGTATTGCCGCTGCTCTTTTCATGTTTTCCTACAAGTTGTTCCTCAAACAAAGAATATGCAGCTGGGTTTTTAATAACTTTTCCCGAGCGAAACTTCTGTACAGCCCGTATAGATACGCACAACCACCGACTCAATCAGCGGCATACCATATACCCCCTCCCCCACATATATGCATTTTCCGCTCAAGCGAGCATAAATCCGTAAACAGAAACCCGTAATTGGAGTCAAGTGCAGCTCTTCAAGCCAAGCCGCCCATACATATCATAATAAATGGAAACAAAATATATACATATACAGAAAATAACTTGGATAAGTAAATCAACTGCAGGGGAAGCAATGGCACATACCCGCCGCTTTAAAACCCAAACCCCTGCACTTGACAATATCCATGGCAACAACACAATTGCTTACGAAAACCGAATCGCCCATTCATTCACAGCCCCTGAATTCATATTATCGACAATGACGTCGATATGATGGCGCTTCCCATTTCCGTCCAAAGGTTTCGGTTTCACTTGGTCGCAAATCGAATATCAGCAACTTTGCGAAGCTATCGCATTAATACACAGTGAAAAATGTAATGGAAACAACGATTTTTTAAGTATTATTTATTGGAGTGAAGTTATAATGCTTTTAAAAATATTCTGATCCCATGAAACTTACAGTTTTTTAATAAAATGGTAGTATGCTCATACTTTCCTTTCATTCTTTACAAACTAAATGGATTGATTTTATAAAGACAATATATTAATCCCTTTTTCTTTGGATTGCTAATCTTCTTAAAAAAATTTTGTTAAATCGTTTTTAAACATTTTTTTGATATTTTTCACTGAGAAAAGCCTGGTTAAAGTTTCTTCAAAACATGGACTTATTACAAATCCGAAAATAAGATGTCTCAACAGATCGGCTATTTAATTTTTAAGTTAGTTATATTACCCAGTGTATTTGCAGTTGCGTAAACCTTTTGTGTGGGTTATATATTTTGCCTTCTGGCCATTTAACCATGTTGACTGCACTCATTATCTGAATTTTCGCTGATTTCAATATGACTTTGGCGGGTCGTGTTTGGTTTACTACTATAGAGCTTGTTGTTTGGCTGATTATGCAGTTTAGTGTCGGCAGTTTGCCGCTTATACACATGACCCACAAATGACCAGAAAACTTACAGCTTATGGCCAAGTGAATGGGTCCGAGGTGGTTTTCGGTTTTCAGTTTTCAGTTTGCAGTCTGCCATTTGCCGTTGAAATCTGAGCTGGATTTTCCTGGCTCTCTGGGTGAAAGGCCGCCCACGTTAGCCTCGGCCGAGATTATCCGCCTGGCAGGAATCGGTGATTAATGGTCGTTAAAGCGCGATAAGTCGATCAGCGAAATATTAAAAGATCTCCTAAGAGCACATGATTTGCTTTCTATTTACCAAAGAGTCTGGTGTGCTTTATGTGTGGGTGGCTTTAACTTCTCGCCTTCGGTAAAAGCCTTTCACATTCAATTCCTGCGGTGCTCGAGTGCACATTTTATTGAACCCGCTGGGCGCGAAACCATATTGTATATGTATATATAGCACAGGTGCTGTAAAAGTTCGCAAACCTTTCTATGTAATTTCCCATACACATTTTCTTATTGCCAACCGCAGGGAAATTGTAATTCTCAGGTGTGTGTGGGAGTTGCAGTTTTTATTTATTTATTTTTCTACACTTTTATGCTGGCGCAAATTAGCCAGCTCGATTTGGTATTCGCCTGCAGTTTGCCTTGCCACAACAATGGACGTTCATGCCGCAAATTTTGCAAGTGCAACAAAAGCTACAACAGCTGCCACAACAACAACACAACACTCTCGACCGACTGCACTTGACAATTGAATTTTGTACGCGACACAAGCATTGTGCATTTTTGCCACCCGCGCCTGTTTTCCTGCATTTTGTATGCACTGCAAGCGGCGGCTATAATAACAATTCTAATAAAAACACAAATTCCCCTGGCTCTAGTGGATTGTTGTGGGTGTACGAAGTGTTTGCGCTTGTGGGTGCGTCTATATGTGGGCACAGCTGAGGTCAAGGCAATAGCAGCTGTGTGCAGGCGGGAAGGTAATGAAGTGGGTTATATATTAACAGGTCAATGTTCTACTTTGGACACATGGTATACGAGTAAAATTCTATCATTCTATTTTATCTTTAAGATATTGGAAATTGGTAGGATATCTTCAAAATTATAATTATAGTTATCGATACATCAAATATTTTTTTATACATTACTAAGAGTTCGTCACCTCATCATAAATAAAATTTTTTTAATATATTTTCTATTTTACGTTAAAATATATTTCATATCACTTTTGAAAAACTAATAATTTTGAGACATACAATTTGTCTTGTTAACTCATACTTATTTATCGATATCTAAAATCGAAAAAAAATCGAAGTCAAATATGCCTTGTATTTTTAAGGTTAAATGCTCAATAAGGTATATGACAGTCAATAAAGATAATCTTTCCAACACGTCCTAGCAATCACACATTGAGAATGGTGATTAATTTAATCACCTGAATCGATTGCCTTCAAGTTCAAGACCTAATGCTATAAATTTGACCGCCACTGTGCCTTCAAGTACAGGTGTCATTGTTAGTCGTCGCTAGTTTTGCACGTAAATCATTATGACAAGTTGACCCGCTTACCAAACGTAAGCCAAAAGGGCTCAGTCGACGTCGCTGTCGGCTGAAATACTTTTTTTTTTACTTTTCACAAACTGCTAATTGTTTGTTTATTTGCCTATTGCGTTTTCTATTTCCATACTATATATATCTGCCATATATTTTCGCATTTCGCTACCATTGCAGTTTTGCCGTTTATAGAGAAGCTTTTTTCCTGCCGTGTTTTGTTTATTAACTAACAAAAATTTATGTTTTTTCAAAGGCGCTGCCGTTGCCAAGCCGAGTTTATTTGTACGATTGCGTTGTTTTTGGTTAGCAGCAAAAATAAACAATAGAATTGTGAGAATTTGTCGCTGGGCTCTAATTTTGGGAATGGAATGCCAACCTGATTGGATTTCAGTGTGACGAGGCGTAAAGATTGTACAATCTGAAAAATTGAGGGTAGGGTGGTTCGTAGGGGAGTGCTTAAATATTAGTTGTGCATTTTCCAGATTTATCCAGCTGGAATTTCACTCCAATATTTGTTTTCTACTTAGTTATTAGAGTGGAAAGTCTATGCCCGCTTTTAATCAGCGTCTGTTGTCAACTTTGCAGCTTTTCTGGTAGCTCAATGTACTACAGTTTGCCCAAAGCTGATTGAAAACTATTGGAGAAATGTCCGAACGCCGAGGGCCACCAACTCAAACTCAATTAAATGCTATTTGAAAGTCATGCCCCTAGGCCCTGTATGACACTTGTTTCCCCTTTCTTTCTCTTGTGGGGCAAAATGTGTGTCATCTTTTCCTGCTGATGTTTTCTTCGCTGCATGTTGCAATTGAGGCGTCAACTGGGTCAAAGTTAAAGTGCGCGCAAAATAAAAAAACCAAAAAAAAGATACAAAACAAAAAACAAATCGCGGCGCCTCCGTTCGAGTGGCGTGCTCATTTTGTTGTTCTTGGAGAATGTCGGAGCTTGGGTCCCCAGGTCCCAAGTGCAGTCACTTTCACACACAGTATGGGTATGGGTACAAGTAGGAGAAAAATAAGCCGGAGACGACCCTCGACAAGGCATCAAAAGAACTTAGTACACTCAGAAAAATGTAGTTCCAATAATTAGGGAATCATGAAAAAGCGATTTCTTAAAATTCCAGTGCTTCCTTTCCATGCAGTAGATCTTAAAATATGTCCTATAACTGTGATAATATCTATTTAAATTTCTGTCCATTAAAGTATACTAAAGTTTTATTGAAGTATAACTGAACTTACTTAAATAGTTTAACAAATATTTCAAGATAGTACAGTAAATAAAGTACTACAGATATTCTCTGTAGGTATCAATAATTTATTATTTTCGATTTCAAACCAAATTACATACAACAAAGTTTACGAGAATACTTATACGTGTAAATCTATATCTCTTTTTTAATGTAGAACGTAGAACTGGAGGTTCTTAAACTTTCAAGGGCGACTCTTTAGTAATTTTTCTCTCTCTGCAGGGTGAAAGAATTAGTAATACCGAGAAGTGGTGAAAGAAGA